AATTAAAAAACTTAAGTACGAGGTTGCTAAGCCCTTAAAAATCTTAAAAACAATCAACGGGATTTTAAATTCAATTCTGAACTTTACAGGCAGCCAGTGTAAAACTACTAATAAAGGAGTAATGTGACAATATTTACTTTCATTGCATATTAATGCAATGAGAAAAGAAACTATTTACTCAAATTCTAGGCTAAGAATTACAGTCGTATTCAATCTCTTACTCATGGTCAATTACACTCATACTTTCTTACTTCACATATGTGGCCGCTAATTTTAGACAACTTCGTACCAGCTAGATAAGCAAGATTCGGTGGGTATTAAGTTGTCACGAATACAAATTAAAAAATTGAGACTGAAATTACAGAAACGTTAATTTTCTGACAAATGTTGAATGTTTTTTCTTTTCATTCTGCTCTTTTCTTTGGCCTGCATGACTGAATTGTGCTTTGAAAGCCGGAGATTTCTCCCTCGTTAGGTGTGTCAAAGTTTCCTACGACCGCTTAAGTTGAAATTAAATGATTGAAGTCATGTGACCAAAACGTTTCTGTGCGTTAAATGAACACAGCAACTCTCTCTTGAGGTCCTCTTTGAATAGTCCGTAGGCTACGGGATTTGTAGCAGAGTTTGCTAAAATGAGAATGATGGAAATTTTCCGTACGGAATCAGGTAGCTGGCCAAACACTGACATTACTCTAACACATACACCGCACAGATAACAAGCCAAAAATAAAACAACCACAGCAACAACGAGCCTTACAGATGACATTTCCTTCACTGCGTGCGATTGCTTTTCTCTTGGTGACCTAGAATAGTTGAAATCCAGCTGAGTGATTACGAGAGATCGCTGAATGCGCCATTTGCGAACAATAAGGATGATGTGGATAATGGCTAGGGAGAGGAAAACACATGGAATGATCCCGTATACAATCAATGTTCCCATTAAGAAGACCTTCCAAGAGTAAGCTTTAGTCGACGGCAGCAAAGGTATATAGGTCCATGACAAAGGTAAAAGGGCGGTAATGATTGGAAAAAACCAAGCTGCTGTTATTGCAAGGACAGCTTTCAGTTTAGTTGCGAACGTGAGATATTGTAGAGGCTTCACAATAGCAATGTAACGATCTACAGTCAAAAGGCACAGGTTTGTAACTGACGCGCTAAGAAATAGGTCAACACAGAGCCAGTGTACGTGTATCTGGGAGCATCCTGTGTCATTGCAACCTCGGTTATAAGGAAAATAGGTTGCCCCTACAAATAAGTCCGCTACCGCCAGAGACAAGATGAACCAATTTGGTGTACCTGACCGGAGACGTTGTCGGAAAGCGATGAGATATATAAGTATGGCATTTCCAACGATGGCTGAAGCGCTGATAAGCCATCCGAGGGTTACGAACATAGTTTCTTTCCATTGTTCCATGTTTAACACACTATCTGACAGAGCTCTGATGTCCTGTTAGTTGTCAAGAGCGCAATAACCAAAGCCGTCGACCGTACTATAAAATAATACAGTATATGCGCAATATAATAAATGATATTGTTTTGATCTTACACGTGGAGATAGTGCCAGTCGTGGTAGGTGGTATCTTCCTTTGTAGTGGGAGTAAGTGCACTACTGAACCATGGGCAAAAATAATTCATTTTCATGTGTTAAAATTGACTGATAACCTAATGAATACAATGATGTCTTTTCCTTTAAATGTAAATAATCCATTATCAAATATCAGATAGGTTTAAGGAAGGGAAAGTGCCCGCCGGGCTGTTTTTTGTAGGACAGAGTCACGCATCTATGCCAGCACTATTAACATATCATACTTGTTATGTAATTGTTATGTATGTCTACCAGCTCAACCGACGGTTTTTTTTCCAAAACTAAACAAAAACAAACTTGTTTTGAGCTGTTTAGACGGCTTTTAAAGCTCAGCAAATGCATTCTAAGCGCAGTGCAATAAAATTTTTATCTGTTCGGTTGCCCTAGGAGATACTTTAATTCTTGCGAATTTATTAGCGCTCTTCGCACCTTAATTACTTTTACCGAAATTTTTGATGTTATAATGAAGGCTTACGAAAAAGAGGGATTTTCTGATACCTTTCCATCTCTACCTTTTAAACTAAAAGGACCTCAGGGGTCTTTTGCTATGAATAATAGCCAAAGTTAGGAATTTCGGACAGCTATGTAGAAATCAGACAGTGTGAAAAACTTAAGTTTCGAAAATCGTAGGAAAGGAAATTCGAAAACAGTACTCCGAAAATTTTACATATATGAATCAAGTCCCAGAAATTTGAAGCCTTAATTTCCCAAGCTATTGCAACCTCTGTTCCAAGGAAACTACAGGCTGCCCCGCAAAAATGTCCATTCTGCCAAACACAAAATGAAGCAATTTCGTATGCACGGATATATCATATCATTAAGCCACTTTCATCGCAGCGCTGATGGGCCCGCATCCGATCGAGAGTTCTCATGATGAACAAGTTTCTTTTCATTACTCGAATTACATAGTTGCACTTTCTCACGACTGATCACTCAGGACGAAGAATGTACTTTATATCCGAAGCAAACTGCACCAGACATGCTAATAGAAATACCAAGTGTTTTTAGTTTCCCCGCAGGTTGTTTTGTCTGCTCACGTGGAATAATAAGTTTAGTTCGTCGTGCGAAATTAAACAGAAGCACGAAAGCACGTGTATAGATTTTAGCACCGATCATTATATAGGAAACAACTTGTTAAAATGGACTAAAAGAATTTTGTACGTGGTCCGCGCTGCTTGTTCGATCGAGTATTTCTTTTCAATTTTGAGGCAATTAAGTTAAAATTTTTAAAAAAGTATGTAACAAATACAATCAAAGATCGTAAGTAGTTTTGATTTGTGTAAACATCGCTGCTTCCTTCCCTAAAGGATGGAAAGTTAATAAAATCACTAAAAATATGATAAACATATACTTTTTCCTATGTGATGGAGTCACGTAGCCTGTTCCGGGCTCCAAAGTAGTGCAGTCGTGAAGAAAATTATATGAAAAACGCGCGAGGGCTGACCGCTTCCTTCTTCAGATCGCGTGCGTCATATTTCCACCGGGCTTGCTTATTTTCCCGACGTAAGGCAAGGACGGCTCTATAATCATCTAGCCTAACCCTAGCCCCCTTGTTAAGCGATCGTTCTGTATTCCTGGAATTCACTTGCTATATTCTAAGTAAATCGCCATTTGAATTTTTTTTGAGGGGGGAGTGGGGAGGGTTGGTTGAGGAGAGAGGGGCAGGGTTTTCAACGGATGTGCTGCGTGGCTGCGAGGAGAATGGGGCGCTCCCTCCCCAAGAAAACAGCAAGCAACGCAGGCTACAGCTTCTACTGAGCCATTTGATTTCCCAGTTGACTACTATACATAGCTTTTATTATTTCTTTACTGTATTCCACGTCTCAGTTAAAATGTCATGCAGTTGGATGACAATGCGAAAATTTGATATCACGTAAAGCGAAAGATGTCCAGTTTGTTGGAAATGCATGGTAGTCGGCAGAGGCTACTTTTCGCACGCCAGCTCAGACAGCGAAAATGTAGCCTCTGCTTGCAGGGTAGGTTCATTGAGAAGCTGTCAAACACTCCACTCAGTGTTTCATCCGATGAATGGACACCTCAGTCCATAGGTCTTAAAAAACTCGGCTGCCCCTTGTTCTTCAATCCACTTCTCGGGGTCCGCTGAATATTGGATAAAACAATGAACGGGGTGAAGTGTCCGCCTTTCTCGGGCACGGCCATTTTCACGCCTGCTTGCTTATTTCGCTCGCTGTATACTTCAGTATACTCCTAGAGGAAAATGATGACCTCTCGTTGTCTTCCATGTTGTTGGTGGCATTTCAAGTAACCATGGCAAGGCAAGGCCCGGTAAAACACCTTTAGGTTTTGCCTTAAGTAGTAATAGTTCAAAAAGGCCCTTTAAAGCATTTTTGGATAACATATTTTTTTTATTACTAGATACGTGTATCACAGAACTTCGCAAAGGCCAGATTTTGTGAAGGGCCAGTAGTACGAACAAAAGGAGAAGAAGCCAAAGAGAAAAAAGAAAAGAAAAAGGAAACAAAAAAAGAGAAAAGAATACAAAAAAACCCAAAAAGAAAAGAAAGAAACTAAATCCCTTGGTTACCAGGAAAAATTCTTCTACCAATAAGCTGCGTAAGATGTAATAGGCCGATATTGAGGCATTTTCGAGCAGAATTTGAACAGAACAAGGGAAAATCAGCGGCACTATGATATGCATAACGGTTGTAAAACTAAATAAAAAAAACCAAATGGAAAATACCTTGTGATTAATTTGATTACTTAATAGCTACAACGCTCTCACATTAAAAGTAACTAAAGAAGAATTACAATTTTGCTACGCATAATAAATATCCAATTAGTCTTATGGGGTTAGGCCGAGGCTCCTTTCTATATTTGCGAAAATAATATAAATACGGCCCCAAGGGCCGAAAATTTCTTCGGATTCCAAGCAGAATTCGAGCAGAATAAGGGTATCCGAGCAGAACCAGGAGCTCCTTGGCAGAACTAGTTTTGAGCGGAATAAGCGATTTTCACGAGTACTGCCGAGTACTGCCGGCAGGCAGAATAAGCCATTTTAGGAGCAGAATTTATTCAAGCCTTAAACATTCAGGCATTTCGGTCAAATCGAGAAAGTCGGGAAATCTTGCGATTAAAAAAAAAAAAAGAAATCTCAAAAATGGGTAATAACAGGAGACCAAAGGCTCCTGGTAAAAACAGGAACCCATCATTAGGCTCCTGGTAATAAGTCGAAATTTTTGAAACCTCGATATTATCCCTCGACTGTCCACATTTTAATACCCGAGTCGACGCTCGACAAAAACCTACACTCAATGTATTGACAGCTTGGACTACGTAAAATGTCTTAATCCAATTCCATTGCTGATTAATTAACTGGACTTAAGAACATTAAGACGTTTCTTCGGTTGAATACTGAGAACGCGAATAAGTGGCGCGAGAATTTTTTTGTAATGTTTTACACAGAGGGTCTAAATATTCTGAAGAATTCTCTTTTAATGTCCCGTTTGATAAAAGCGTAAGGAAATGGGTTAGCCGCTGAATTAGCTATCAGCATCAGTTTTCTAACATAATGAAATTCTACGGTTAAGTCACAGACGTCAAAATAAAAGCATATTGAACCAGCAACATCCATAACATAGAAGATAATAAATATTCCAACAACAACTATAATGACAGTTGCGGAAAACTGCGCTTTGCTTTCCCTGAGACGTGGCTGTTTATAACGCAACTGCGCGTTGAATGCAGCGGTTTGCCGCCAGTGCCGTCGGGATACCGCTAAAATTCTTCCTGTGACGCATAAAAGAAACAGGCAAGGAATTATTTCAAACAGGATGCCATAGATGACTTGGAAGAGAAGTTGAGTGCTTTTGCTTGCACCAGCAAAGTGCATGTAAAGGCTTGGAGGTAGATATAGGAGAAGAGGCAGAACCCAAGCGCTAACAATGACAAGCAGGAACGTTCTTGAAATCATAAATTTAACGTATTTGAACGGTCTTACAATAGCAACATAGCGGTCTGTAGCCATTCCACAAAGATTTGAGATTGAAATTATGGCAAATTGCCACGATAAAATCCCACGTAGGCTATCATCACAAACAAACATTGTGTCGCAGAAATACGCGAATGGAAAGAAAAAAACCGCGAACAGAAAATCGGCCACTGCGAGGGACAGGACGAAGTAGTTTGCCATTGTCTGAAGTCTTTTTGTAATCACAATGAGAAAAATAACCAAAAAATTTCCAGTAATTGCTGTAGCACTTAGAATCCAGCCAATAACCAAATAAATAACGCTCATCTTCACCAAGCTTCTATTCCGCGGTACTGTCTTCTCTGGTTCACTGACGGTTAGGCTGTGTCAGATAAATTACAAGGATCCTCTTAGGAAACGATGAGCTTCGTCCAACAGCCTTCAACACTTTTATGAGGCCAGAAATAATCTTAATGCAGAATTTTGGTTTCCCCTCCAGGGTGTAATCCATCAAAGTAATAATAAACCTGAGTTAATTATTTAATTTACGCATTCAGTTTCTTAACGAGTTCTTCAGAGGGCGGGAATCAGTCTCGAGCAATATTTAAAGGTAAAGACATCCCCGAAAGAAACTGAGTTCTTTTAAACTTCCGCCATAATTATTGCTTAACAATGATGCTGTCAAGATTCATAAATGATATTTGAACATTTTTTATATGGAAGCTTTTTGCAGCTGAAATTTGAACAGACCTATAAAGTAAAAGTCTTTTGATGAGCGACGCCATGAACTCTAATATTTTATCAGCTTGAGGTTGTCCTTATAATACACCAAAAAGTCAAACAAAGTAGAAAATTAGAAAAATCTACTATATTCAAAGTAATGCAAATCTTTTTTTGGAATTGTTAGCTATCTTGCTTCTACCAGTGAGGTCATTCCTACATTATGAAAATGATCATTAGTTCGCAGAACAATCGGGATTTAATATTTTTAATGTTGTGATAAAAACCTCAGCGCGCGTTACATTTTATTCTAAAGCGGAAAGCACACAAACGTCCTGTATATGGTAAAACAAATGTTTTAATTAATTATGAATGAAAACACAATCCAGTCTAAGTTAAAAACGTTATTGTCTGAAACTTCCTCAAAACTGATTTTATAGAAAGGGTATACTGTACTTATAAGATAGCGGCGGACGTAATACGGTAAAAAAAAAAAAAAAAAAAAAAAAAAAAAAAAAAACTAAATGGAGTAGTTTCTTTTGCATTTAACTGTTAATGCTAACATTACATTTCTCCCAGCAATGGTTTAATCATTTCAAAAATGGCGCTTTTAATCAAGATGAAAATGCTAAATTTAAGAATGGAGCTTCTCCCAAAGTTATCTACGTCTTTTGATTACTAAAAAAGGTAATGAATTTAATGTTTTAGACAGTAAACCACATCGAGAACCTCAGTTAAATGACGCAAACTCTGTCAGTCCACGTAGCTTCTAGCGGTCGGTTTTTGCTTGGGATGACGTTCGTGCACCAGCTACACTGGCCAACGCAGTCATTTTTATAACAATTGTATTTTTAATGTCTTGATTAACCGACGCATGCAGTGTTTTTTGTTTGCTATAGAATGAGTTGAAAAGAAAACTTTTCAGAAATAATCACAGGACTCTTCATTAAATATTTAACGTACAGAACAATTACAGTGACAAGTAATTAAATTGATAGGAAACTTTTTCTATCATTCTCCTAATTTTCCACATAAAAACAATTTGCATTCCCTTTTAATGTCACGTTTTAGGAAAGCATAAGCGCAAGGATTTATTAGTGAGTTTACAATTAACAGGATCCCAAGAACGTCTTGAACCTCCTCTGGTGGCTCATTACAAGCTTCGAGACCAAAGCAAATGGACAGCGAAATATTCACAGCATAACAAACTATAAAAACACAAACGACTGTACATATCATTGGAACAGATGACATCTCCTTCTTTCTGGCCAATTTCAAGCGGCAGCCGGTCCTTTCTATCCTTTTGTTATGAAGTATTTGAGAAACTTGACTAGCGGCTTGTCGCTGGTGTTTCCTTCTAATAATCAAGATACGACCTGTAACAATGGCCAGCAATACAGCTGGAGTCAATTCGGTGACTAAGATTCGCGGTACTTCAAAACCCTTTTTGGTAGCTTCAGATGTGGTGTGGTGTTCTACAAAGTACTCACTGGCTGCCAGGACAGCCGAGAATAACCAAGTTGAGCAAATAATAGCAAAAACTCGTCTTGAGGTCATCAATGCAACATATCTCAAAGGAAAAGCAATGGCAATATAACGATCGATTGTCATGGCGACCAAATTCGTTACTGAAGCATACATAAAAATGGATGCCACCATAATTCGATGTTCGCGATTGCAATGGAAGTATTTGTTGCAGATCAACGATGCTGGAAAGTAGCATAAAACGAAAGATAAGTCTGCCACAGCTAGAGAGAGAACAAAACAATTAGGTAAGGTGAACAGTCGACGTCTTGTAATGATCAGGAAAGACGTGAAGCCATTTCCAAGAATAGTAAATACGCTAAGTAATCCACCAACAATCCAAAACCACGACGCCATATATGACAAAAAAAAAAAAGATTTTCGGTGCTGCAGCTGTTGCTAGCTTCTACAGTATTCTTACGTTTCAATAACTTTCTTCTATGGTTTTCGATCTTGGCAGCTTCGTGACAGTATTTGACTTTCTGTTTACATTGTTACCCGAGGTTGCGAAATATGGAATTAACTCTTACTATGACAGATGGCTTAGCTACTTAAATGTCAAGTTTCTTTTACTCAGTGTTAGTATGTTTGCCTAGAACACAGCGCCTGCAAGACGACTTTTAAAATGTAGATTTGCACATGTGTTTTTTTGCTGTTGCTGAAATATTACTATTTAGTATATACTAAAACAGTGGATAGTGTTTTTCTCGCGCTCTGATTGGCTACTCAGTCAGTGAATATCCTGCACTGTTATAATTTTCATATATTTCCAAAACACTTACTTTATATGTTTTGAGAGACTGATTAAAATTGGCTAAGACGTAACCATTATGATATACTTTCACTCCAAACAACTTTCAGGGTAAAAGGCAACTCCACAAGTCAAGGCCATGAAGTTTGCGTCAGATTGTCGCATCAGGTGTTATTTGCGTCCACGAGTTGACCCACAGTGTCCTCTTATTTAAGGGTAGATCCTCGTATAACCTTCGCATTAGCTGTCGAAAGCCGAGTTGTTGTTTTAAAAAATCCATAAGCGGGTAAATACGATGACTAAAGGAGTATGTTGCAAATGAATCCATATTTTAATAAATTGTCGCTTTTTTATATTTCTATCGTACGAATCGAAGTTAATATATAAAAAAATATGCACAATTTCATGCGTTTGACTTATGAAAAGAGAAGAGAAATAAAATTAATTATACACATCGCTGCGAGCAGGATTTGAACCTGCGCGGGAAGATCCCATTGGATTTCAAGTCAAACGCCTTAACCACTCGGCCATTACAGCAACAGACGGCTGCAGTATCGTCTCCAAACACTTTAAAGGTGATGTTAACCGGGACGATTCGCAACGACGATTTTTAGCGCAACAAAACGTTGCAATGTTGGAACAATGTTGCAAGCATTGAAAACAATGTCGCAACAATGTTGCAACGCTGTGTTGTGCTAAAAATCGTCGTTGCGAATCGTCTCGTGTAATATCACCTTAAAAGAAAGAGTGGCTCATTCTCATAACCATACTCGTGTCTAGCACTGTATTCGGATTGTAATAAGTTAAAAGCCATGGATATGAATCCTTACATTACTGACTGGATCATAAACTTAATAATAGGTAATCAGGGGCGGATCTAGGGGGAGGGTGCAGGGGGTGCGCAACCCCCCCTCCCCCCTGAGATGACCTGTGGTTTTCTAATACAACTGGTATTCTGCGAAAAAAAAAAACTATGTGGTTTATTGGTGTTGAAGTAGAGCAAGAGACGAGTGCACCCCCTCCTAAAAAAAATCCTGGATCCGCCCCTGGTAATAGGCAACAACGGCTTTTTGTGGATGAAACATCTACAAGAATTCAGACCCCCAAAGCAGCATTTCCTGCTTTTTAGATCCGTAAATCCTTTAAATTATTGCTGGTTGTTTAATTTGCATTTGTTGTTTAATTTGCATTTGTTGTTTAATTTGCATTTGTTGTAAGCTTTATATAATGGAAGTCTCTCTATAAATAAATTGATAAATTAATAAAATAAGTGGAAGGTGATCTATTCAATCACGTTTCAATTGGCAATGGGTTTTACACACTATTTCTTCCAGATCAGAATATTTGAAGGTAAATCATAAAATAGTGAATTTAATTTGATTCCAAATACAAATATAAACCCGTTTATTCTGTACAAGCTGTAATCGTTTAAACCTCCTATTTCTTATCATTGTTAATAATCACATTGTGGACTTTTTTACCACAAAAATGTAATAACTTGAGCACGTTTGCTACCAAAGGCTACTCAAAAATATTTGTTTAAACAATGACGCTGCGAGCAGGATTCGAACCTGCGCGGGGAGCCCCCATTGGATTTCGAGTCCAACGCCTTAACCACTCGGCCATCGCAGCTTCACGTAGCGTACTCCTGCAAAACATTGTATAAAAAGCTAAACAATTAGCTACCTTAGTAACAAACTATAAAAGAACTTCAAGGCTTAAAGCCAGGATACTAGATTTTACATTCAAATATATTTTGTTTTGAGACTACGAACATTTCAAAAACGTATCACTGAGATAAAACTCCTTAACAAAAATTAAATTGGGAGATGTTACTAGTCCTCAGGTATATATGTGTTTTTATGCCAACGACTTTGTTATTCGTCCTTTTTACAAGTTTTTGTGACCTCTGATCGTTCATCTCGGAGTGTAGTCCTGTTTAGTTGTTATGTTTCTATCTTCCTGTTTTCTATTTTCTTGTTAAGAAAAAAAAAATAGTTAAAAAAATACAAGATCTGATACAATACAAGATCTGAGAGTTGCTTAACAACCGTAACTATGCAGAAAATATTTCCGCGGATGGAAGAAGAACCGTGAGCAACCAATGAATATTAGAAAGTAATTTACTGTAAGGGTTTTCGTGACGTTATTACAGTGCTTCAATTATTTTTTTCCTTGTCATCGAATTTAAACGTAACTGGCATTAATTTCAAACCTGAGCACAACTCGCATCAAGTTATATTATTTAGGTTGATTGGATATATTCTTCATGATGACAGAAGAATTGGAGAGCTGCTTGTAACCAGACCTTTCCTTTAAGGTAGCCTGCGGAGCAGGAGTTAAAAGGGGACGGGGAAGGGGGGATTTGGCGCGCGAGAGCGCCTGAGGCGCCCTAATTCCCTTCCCCTTCCCTTTCGAATGCCTGCCACGCAGGCTGCCTTTAAGGTGGCTGGTACCAGCTTCCCTCTTTTTTGACAGTTTTAATTTTAAAAAGACAGAGCAAAAAAACAGTCCAAAGCAATGGCAGCACTTTTGTAGAGTTGAATTGTACTTAAAACAACCATATTTCGTCACTAACAGTTACCATGGCAACGTATCTTCAGGATTATTCGGACCTACTTTTTGGCTTCCAGCGCTGATAACTAGAAACTCGGCTAAGCCGGTGACCCCTACTTTTTTTTGGAAGACAACTTTTGGCATTAGAAAAGGAGAATACACAGTGGCATAAACATAACAACTTTCTTTAATTTTCCAGACATGTTTCGACGGTACATCCGCCATCTTCAATGTTACATATTTTGAAATCGCATCAGTGACGCTGAGCTACTTACAGGGAGAGAGTCCGGTTTATGTGTTTCACCTGCTGGTTGAGGTCGGGTTTTATCCATTTTATGAACATAGATTCTTTGAGCTTCACTTAGTATTTAGTAGTTGCAGAGTCCAGGATCTGGAAGCAGTCCGATCTGTAAGGTGTTCGGCAAGACTCTGAACTTTGTAGATGTCTAAAAACGTTGGAAGACCTGTCAGAAAGTTAGTGCTCAGGCACTCGTGTGGAGAAATGTCGGCTGGTTTCACCAACATAAAAAGCATTAAAACTTGCTTGTAACATCGCGCGCGATTTAAATTCAACGGCGATTTCAAAATACGTAACACTGAAGGTGACGGATGTACCGTCGAAGCATGTCTGGAAAATTAAAGAAAGTTGTTATGTTTATGCGGCTATCTATAATTATTGTTGCTGCTATATATCTAGACCTTTTGAAAATACAAAGTGATTTTAAAAAAAATTCTACGGAGCGGATTTTTTGCGAAAGTGGAAATTAGGACATTTTTTTCAGTAGAAATTTTCTTCTGTAGAATTTTTTCATTTTTTCTCTGGCGTGTCCTATCAACTCTGACAAAATATTAAAGGAATGAAAATAGGGGGTCACCAGACTAGTTTTCTTGTAAAATACTTCAAGATTTCACAAATTCCCACGCGTGTTTTCTTGCTTGTAAAATCTAAATCATTCTCGTCCCCAGAGGCCGTCGTTTCTTGGTCACGTGGGTTGTTACAAATTAAGCCGAGTGGCTCTGGGTACGAGAATGAATCCAAATCCCATAAGAACGTGGGTTACTCATGCGTTGTGTTGGCTACCGCTGACTGTTGCGTGTACACTCGCAGGCATCCATTGAGTTTGTTTACAGTCATTGCAGAAAAGAAAAAAATTACATGCGTCCAATTTATGCATTGTTATTAGGTTTTCCCGTTCAGTATAAAGTTTAGTAACATCGCCTTCTGGAGCCGTTTTTCAACATCAAGCGACAAAGCGAAGTGGCAAAGAAAAAACTGTTTGCAGGAGACTGTCGGGAAAATAGATTTACGGTTTTCAATTTTCTTCGTCTAAAATTGTAGCCGAGAAGATAAAGTGTGATTAATTGAGGTAGTATTCTAGTTCATTATTTTAATCATGATTTGAAGTTTTGCAAGTACATCGCATGAAATTATTCACTAAATTAACAAAATATTATAATGATTGTAACAAGTGAATCGCTTATTACCTGTATAGTTTATTTTGTGGCTTTATTGGGATAAAATATTTCTGAATATAGAATAAGTAATTATAGGACTAATTCCAGTACTACAGCAAAAAACACCTAGAATACTTGCTATCACATAAACTATCTCATTTTTTTAGTTTAACTACGATCATGACATTTCTCAGATAAACAAAAGACCGGACCTTAAACCACATGCACTAAACTAAGAGAACTAAACAAAGGAATTATCGATTCTTCAGAATGCCTACTTTTATGAGGTAAAACAGCAGCCAAACATATTTATTTATACAAATTTTCCGTCCGAAAGGTTTCTTGGTGTTTCGATGAGGGCACTTGAATTTTCAAGCTTTTGCTTGATGACTCGGCGTGTAGCTGTTCCTGGGAAAGCTGTCATGTGGGTCAAAAACATTATTTACCGATTTTTTTGAGATTTTGCCATCTAAAATATTTCTCCAGTATTTCTTTATTCTTTATGAGTTCCTCAAGTGATGTATTCAGCAATGGCCTGATTTTGGCGAGGCTTTTTGTTTATTTGTCTTCCCTTATTTACTAGACACTGGACTTTCTGTGTTAAATTGTTTACACTTTTTATTTCTGATGACGTGACAGTGGTTGTTTACCATTTACCACAAATTCTCGGAAATTTTCTGGTAAACGATTTTTTGGTTCGTCTCACTTGAAAATTCCCGGAACAAACGGAAATTCTGAAAAGGTAGTCCCGTTTTCCCGATTGTTACGTTTCAAATGGAAATTGTTTACCATTTACAAGTTTCTTGAGTTTCGTACTTACTAGTTTTATGTTGTAACTAGAATCCAGTCTAGCGCGGCGCGTCAATCCGGGAAATTTTAGGCAAATGGTAAACGACAAGTACCGTTCTTACCGACCGAAAATTCCCAACCAAAATTTCTGGAATTTTTTTTTTTATAAAAGATAAACAACCAGTGAAAGCAGAGAATAGGAAGGCTTGCAAGCCTCGGTTTTATTCATCACATGATTCATCACATGAACTTAATTATAATATTTAATCCATAAAGCTGTCTATGTCTAATTTACAGGGATACTCTATACCTAATAGCAACTTTTGATCAAAAGATAGTATTTCCACTATTATTACGGGAAAATGACAAAAAACAATCGAAAAGCAAAAGTTAAAGCCGGAAAATCGTCAGAGAAAAGCGAAATTTCTGCAACACGAGCGATTACACTACACAGATCGGCATTAAAGCAAATATGCTGCATCGCAAATTCTGTTCATTACTGATCGACGGCATGATTACACTTTCGATAAAATAAAATAATTCTAGCTGTTAATTACTCCTCTGATGGAGTGGCAATGTTTTCTTTGAGCATTATTTCGATCTAAAGCCGTGTAATAACTATGTGAGCCGTCTGCGTACAAGGTACCCTGCGAGCAGAGTCTCCTTCGATCTTCCTCATCTAGGAAGATCGAAGGAGACCCTGCTCGCAAGGTACGTACAAGGCAATTTTCCCGGGAAATTCAGAAAATTGTGTTAGGAACGTATGCTTTATACAGGTTGTACACCTAAGAAAAAGTGACTAACGTCACGATTGTAGATGTAAATGTGGATTTTGTCAACACCTGAGTCGATTTCAAAAGTGTCTGCTGCTCAGAGTTTGACTGTATGTTCTTGGTCACTAAAAACAACGACGCGGTTGAGACAGAAGAATTAGTTATGCTCCTTTTGGCATAACGCAACACCCCGGGATTCCAAGCCGTTTGTTCGCTGGGTTCTTCAGATGGCCTGGTATCGATGTAAACAAAGGCAACTGGCGAGGTGTTTCCAGGCATTTTAGCCATGAAAAGTTCGCCTTGTCCTGCCATCTTGCGCGATCCCTCTTGCGCCGTTTGCTGCCAGTTGCGGCTCAGATCCCTCACCCAGGCAATGAACATGACTTTGTGTTCAACGGATTTCGCCTTGCAGACGAGTAATGAGAACACCGACTACACAGAATTAACATGTATTCGCCATATAAAGCATAAGAAATTAATTTAATTTTTTGGTGATTTGTCTTTATCCGTGAGTATCCTGAGAGGTTGCAGCGGTATCCGTTTCCCGCCTTAGCTTTTAGTCACTGGTAACCCACGTTTAAAAATTGTTGGAACATCACCAGCTTTTCTTCTTCGTTTTCACTGTCACGCAATTAACACGGCACAACAAAATAAATTTGAAACCGTCTGGTGGAAGAAGCCAAAAAAACGAAATGTTATAAAAGACTAATATACTGAAACAATTTGCCCAAATCTCAGGTCTTGGTGGCCCACAGTTTCTGAGTTATTTGCCGAAACATTTCACGCACCTTTGTAGAGCTTTGTATAGAGACGCCATATTGGTGGACAGTTACAAAGGTCCACCAATACCACAATATCACCGCCAGGATTCATGAATTTATAACTCAGCCCAATCATATTGATGCAAGCATACGCTACCAGAAAAGTTATCAGAAATTTCATTAAACGCGTCGCTGAAACCGGTCTGAGGATGAATGATAATGTAGTAATAATGGTCTTATAATTAATTGCTCACTCGATAAGTAAAAGGGAAAACAAAACATGCATATCTTGTCAGTGTTGCAGATTTAATTGCTGAGTGCAATTCAATAGACCTATTCGGCTAACTCAATGTTGTACCCAATTCAAATCTCCCGGGGATAAGATTCTTTGTGTATTGTATTTGCATTATAATGTGGCATTCACATTTAAATGATATGGAAATTCCTGAAACAAAACGTTTTATTCCCAAAGGGTTTGAATTGGGTACAACATTGAGTTAGCCGAATAGGTCTATTAAAAGCTACACTGCTTTATACATTAGTTGCATATAAATAGAACATTATAAGCTACTTCGCTTACAGTTTCGCTTCATTTAAGTGTTCCATAACTTTTTTCCCATTTAAGCACATAACAATGTACTTGACGTTTCTTTTTCAACAATGTCTGTTAGAAGTGCTAGTGTGACACAAGTAAAATGATCCAAACAGTTCTGAAGAAATGGATTCATGAATTTATAATTATGTGATCACTAGCACGACGCGCTAATGATGTGAACATATTCAGATGTCGTTTGGCTTCTTAATTTTTGGTTGACATTTTTCTACTTAATATGCACTTTCATTTGGGAGCTTTTCATCTTGAATTATAATTTCTTTTTACTTTCCGACTTCACTTCTGTTTTAACCACCTTTTTCGTATTATTTATAGTTTTAGTTTCGACTTATATTTTTGTTTTTCTGATTTTTTTTTACTTCATGGTTACATTGTATGTTGCGAAATAAAATGCCCATAATCCCATTTCCAGGTTGACTTGTGAAACCTTCCTTTTATCTAAAACCTGATTTAACAGTCTCGATTGCGCCGCAAATAAGTTAGATAAATTCTTCTCCGTAAACTGCAACCGGGTTATTGAACAGAGGCAGGTAGCGGTGTTAAATGACACATCGATCTAAGTAAATTAATGAAAGGTCTGAACTTTCGTATACTTTGGTAACTGAATACAGCGGTTCTGTCAGAAAATATGGGCATGATAGTATTTTCCCCTTTCAATTGACAATGTTTTCACGAACGATTCGTTGCCGTGTTAGTTTAAGTTGAGCCATATTAGTTTCTCCGTTAAGGCCCAATAAATACACCAAGCTTTGATCATGTTATATCTTCATTGCTACTTTCTTGTAATCTTGTAATAACAGTAACCGTGGTTTCGACAGCAAATTCAGATTCAACTTAACCTTGTAAATAAGAGACATTGGTTGAAGCTTGAGGAGCTATTGTGGACCGCCGATGAAGAAGGGCCTTTTGGAATTCACTTCTAATATCTTTCTTTAACAGCACGTAGACGAAAGGGTTCGCGGAAGAGTTTATTAGATTTAAAATGTAGATGCCGCTATCAAAATGGTCACTGTTACACTGTGATATCTGAAATAAAAGGCATATGTTCGCAGTCATTTCTGTTAAAAATACTGCAGCGAATATACTGACCAAAACCGCAACCACTTTAGCGTAATCAAATTCCCGGCTGCGTCGATTGACTGTCACATCGCAAGACATTTTGTTGAACGATAGCTGAGCGATTATCGCAGAAGTTTGTCGCCGAAGTCTTCTAACGACAAGCATCAAACGGACTGTGGTGGCGAAGAGTATTATACTGGGGATTAAGCTCAAAACCACGGTGTGCAAGATAATCCAAGCGAGATAACGTTCAACATGGACTTGAATTTCTGTAGCAATCAAGGGAATCGAATCTGAGAACGTAGCCACTAATGCAACGAGCCAAGCTGCAACCGCAACGAAGCAGATGCGTTTTTTTGTAATAAACATAGTGTACCGCAGAGGGAACTCGATTGAAGCATATCTGTCCACCGTCAAAGCAAAAAGACTGAAACGAGTGGCGTACAAGCAAAAGGACGAAAATGTAATGAATATGCGCTCAGCGTAAACATTACAGGAAAAGTTTTCGCAAATGTATGTCACTGGGAAGTACAACAGACCGACTCCAAAGTCAGCTACAGCTAGAGACAAGACAAAGACACCTCCAGCGGTGGATCGAAGGGTTGGTGTTCTGGTAATAATCAATATGACTGCTCCGTTTCCAAGAATACAAACTACCGTGAGAAACCAAGCGATGATTACCACTGCTAAATGCATCATGTTACCCTCTGAAAGTAGTCCTTTCCTTCCTGAGGAGGAACGGGTCGAGACGTTGTCCGCTTCGCGATCGCTTTCTTCGGATAAATCACTCAGGCAACCAGGAGAACGTTCAGATTACGTTTGACTGTACTTTGTTGCTTAAGAAACGTCCTCCAAAGTTCTCCTCTCGAAGTTTCGTTAATGCAAATTCACTTACCAATTTGCAAACCCTCTTAGTCTTTACTGATCAGGAATTTGCCTAATGTGGCTATTCTATTCGGTATCGTTTCACAGTGCATAGTAAAACCGCAAAGCAACTCATTTTGTCGCTCGTAAGATACTGCCTTTTTGGCACATTTAATTAGCTGGTAAATAAATAACTGCTACAAATGCACCTGTCGGGCCAACGTAAACAATCATTTTGTCAATCGCGACGTTATAGAGACAAAAAGCAATACTATATGTCGACTTCGTGGCTCTTTACCAAAGGGTCATTCTGTAATTGATGCGTACTCTAATAATGGGTTTCCATTTCGCTCGCTGGAAGACGACACTTTATGAATATGATATACCTGTGGCTCTTCAGTTTTTTTGTATGTTTTGCTCCAGAGTATTTTTATTTGGTGCGCAAATCATCGAGGATTGAAAAGTAAAACTTGAATGCTTTTCATAAAGACCGCATAATGGTTTCAAGGGCGGCTGGCAGTTCTTTAAATGCTCCGTTTTTAGACAATTTCTCGCAGAAAAGTCTTTTTATTCTCTTCTAGCAATTTGCAAATGGTAGTCACTGAAATATCAGGCAGTCAATAACAAATGTCTGTGCGTGGTATATGCATATTATTTCTGTTCTCATAGCAACTCAAAAAGTGACCTTGTCATGATCAGCAGGCTACTGATGATATTTATCTTTTAGGATACATAAAACCGTATGGCGACATTTTTGTATTGCAGGCCGGGTAAAAATGTAGTGATGTTTGTTTAAACACCGAAGAAACAATTTCCTCCAAACTTGATTTGCAAGGAAGCAGCAACCCACCAGTGCCTTTTCGCCCTTCATGTAGTTGGTAAACAAAGTGACAACGGTCTAAAAGCATACAATTCTGTAAAAACGTCTTAATGAGAAGAAATGAAAGCAATCTGTAAAGAAATTTCATGGGAAAATAACAGTTATGAATGCTATGTCAGAGAAAAAAAAAACTGACCTGCATGTTTTTATCCATGAAGCTGCTTCGAAGTATTCGATTCGTGACTGGCAAAGTGTACACAGGTAATTGGAGACTAAAATAAACGTCATTCCAAAAATCATATTTGCTAACATTTTATTAAAATCGTGAAAGATGTCACTTAAATTGCTGGGATTTTAAACATTAACGTAACCATTGCTGTCATTGGTTGACGAAATTACTTAACTACGTTTGTTCTTATTGTGCCTTTATAAAAATTATATTATTTGAAATGTTTCGTCTTCAGGGGCACCTTTGAATTAGATTCACCGACTGTTCGTTGTAAAAGACTTAGTATTAAGATAAAATGTCTTTTTTGCTTTTAATTTTTTTTTTGGCTCAGTGTTCAAAATCTTCATTTTAACGAGAAAGGTCATAAATATGTCCGTTTTAATTTTCTTCTTTAATGCAACGTAAACCGGTTTTTAATCGCATAAATCGTCCAATAAATTGCTTGACAAAATAAAGAAAGCGTGTTTTTTGTTTATTTGAGATGCTTAGTTTACGGATATATGGACATGAGACACAAACAGAGCACGCTAAACGAAAATAATTTGCAAGTTTCAGCGGCAGAGACACAACTCAATAAATAACTTGGCTCGAAAGTTCATGAATCCCCGTCCTTACACGTCACCTTTACTTGGAATGGACTGCAAAAACAAAGATAAAGGATAAGTAATCACGGATTAATCCATTTTAAAAAAGTGAGACTGACGTTACACACACACGGGAGCCTATGGTGTCCGCTGAGGAGAGACATTCACTTGCAGGAGGTTCGTTGCACAAAAACGCGGGCAAAAACACCCGGAGTGCGACTTACTGACGCTTATGCCCGCCTAATGAGAAGAATGCCCGTTCTTAATAGCGGAGCTCCTAGCGCGCGAAGCGCGCCCGAGCGGAGCCTTATAGATAAGAGAATATGGTAATCTATCCAATGGCAGCCAATGGAGTTTTTCTACTGTAGACCTTGAATTTCGTTTGTTTGATTTACGACAAAAAACATTGAGTAATAATTTTTAGGATGTGCCTTTACTCTGGTCACGTTTTTAGTCACGGTCACGCTCCAGAGTTAAAATCTTGCCTCAGGTTGGTCAAAGTTTTGACGCGTGAATTCATGCGCACGTTAAACTTATGCAGCATCTGCCTCTTCAAGTTTGAAACAAACTTGATGTACTTTAAAGTTTTAAGCTTTCTGTGTTCTTTCAATGCTGCCACGACATAAAATACAGCCGCTATAAAGATTCTTTCTCTGTTCAAAGTTGGTTTGGCCTTTCCTTTAGACAGAGAGATAAAACAGATAAGTCGGTTATAACGTGTAGATTGGCTGCCACCGAGGACTATGGTGTCTGGGGCCTTTAAAGCATAAAATTATATTCGGGGAAAGTCCAATTAACCTTTATGAAATAAAGGCATGTTTGGGAAAAATTTGTTTTCCACGCCTAATCTACTGTGATAATAGGTGATTGCTATCGGACGATCAACCTCTATTAAACCACCACTTGCTGGTACCCCAAGGGTGGCCGCTTAATGGGGGTTCAATTAACCCCACGCATACTAGTGAAACTCTTTTAAAATTCTTAGTACCTTTTATCTGGTTAAATGATGCGCTTAAATGATATATGCGCAATGTGCGTCTCCTTTCTGATTAAAAAAGCGCAATAAAAATTGGATTACAGGCTGGTTTTTCCGGAGTGTCTCGTTCTACACACAAAGTAGTAACAGACTGTTTTACCCCCACCCCCCCCCCAAAAAAAACACAAAAATTCAATACCAACTAGACACGAATTTCCTATAAATATTCAAATTCACAGGGTACCAGCCTCGCAAAAAATCGCAATGCAAAAAGTGAGTGTCCGATAGTTTATTAAATTGGAGCTTATCAGGAAATTCATAATAAATTGTTTTCAGCTTTCTATTCTACAATGTCAGATATTTCTTACCTTTTTATTTCTATTTGACAACGTAAATCACCAGTTTTAATGACCTGCTTGCCTGTATATAAGGCCACCTGCATGCATCTTTGTAGCACGTAATCGACATGCAACTTTCGAGAAAGTTCAGTGATAATTACTGAATGGTGAATGAATTTCCTATAAATATTCAAATTCACAGGGCATCAGCCTCGCAAAAAATCGCAATGCAAAAAGTGAGTGTCCAATAGTTTATTAAATTGGAGCCTATCAGGAAATTCATAATAAATTGTTTTCAGCTTTCTATTCTATACAATGTCAGATATCTCTTACCTTTTTATTTCTATTTGACAACGTAAATCACCAGTTTTAATGACCTGCTTGCCTGTATATAAGGCCACCTGCATGCATCTTTGTAGCACGTAATCAACATGCAACTTTCGAGAAAGTTCAGTGATAATTACTGAATGGTGAATGAATTTCCTATAAATATTCAAATTCACAGGGCATCAGCCTCGCAAAAAATCGCAATGCAAAAAGTGAGTGTCCAATAGTTTATTAAATTGGAGCCTATCAGGAAATTCATAATAAATTGTTTTCAGCTTTCTATTCTATACAATGTCAGATATCTCTTACCTTTTTATTTCTATTTGACAACGTAAATCACCAGTTTTAATGACCTGCTTGCCTGTATATAAGGCCACCTGCATGCATCTTTGTAGCACGTAATTAACATGCAACTTTCGAGGAAGTTCAGTCATAATTACTGAATCGTGAAATTGAGGGCCAGGGATAAAAAAGAACATCGAATCGCCTACAGTCTTTAACTGTTATTGTTAAGAACGACAGTCTCAAGACTTGGGAAGTAATAATAAGAAATAATACAAAAGACTAAGAAAATTAAACTTACCCTTCTGGACCAAATGAGCAAGGAAAAATATAATTTTGAAAGGCTAGCTACTAATCACGTCCACAAGAATGAGAATGTTTTTAATTTGGAAATGCATACTATTTTTTTCACGATTCGTCCCACCGTCCACACGAAACGACCGAATCCGCTCATTCGTCCGCGGCCGTTGCGTGTCGATATACGGTTTCAAAAATACCCGGATTCGTGCGGGATGGAGCCTTCAGCGACAGTGGAAAAGTCGAGTTAAAAATGTGAATTTGAGCTGTTTCAAAATTTATCTCTTAATTCCTACCACCTTCAATTTGTCGAACTTAATGTTTGCAAACTTTCTACTGTGAGTTGACTGTTCAATGACCGTATTCAAGTTCAGAAAAAAGAAAAAAGAAACAAGAAATAAAAAAGAAATAGTTCTTTGGGTGAACGTCTTCCATTGAACGTGAAACTAGGAATCATGTTCACGTGACCTTAGATAAAGAACTCTACCAAAAAGTGTGCTGCACGTTCAGGTTCGGTTAAAGTAGACCAGCTTTTTGCCGGAGATGGTTCACTGTGGGTTTTGATCGATTTCATGTTTGTGGTTACTCGCTTACTTCGTCAAATGCAAGTGAAACGTCTGGAGTTGGGCGCGAATTCTTAACAATTATACGCAAGTTTAGAAAGAGAAGGAAACTTTTTTTGTCGCTTGTTCACGTGCTCCGTAAAACGTAGAGCTAGGCAATTTCACATCGTAGTCGTTCCATGACCACACAGAAGTGTACAAAAAGAGTGTGCTGCACCTGCAGAGTTGTTGTTTTGCCTATTCAGCCTATTGCTCTTTTGACGTTCTCGTTGCCGTCGCCGCCGTGTCATTTCAAACTCCCTAGTATTTAGGCGTAGCCTGAAAAAACAGCCGACATTTTGCGACACCACCTCTTGTTTCCCCACGAATGACGTCTAAGAAACGAGCCAAGAAGTTCCATACTGTGACGTGACACTACCCAAATCTGGGTAGTCTGACTGACTGGCTAAAACTTCAATTGCCTCTATTAATCAGAAGCTCTACCCAGATCTGGGTAGTGATACGTCATCAAGACCATCAGTATGGAATTTCAGCACTCGTTACAGACGTCATTTCGCTAGGAATAGGTAAGGTAGTGGCGTCGCGAAATGTCGGCTGTTTTCTTAGGCTAAGGGTGCGCTATTACCCTCGGACGAAAGTATTTAATATATAACCCTAAATATTGAACAAAATGATAATGTCAATTGTTGACAGCTCTCTGAGCCTTCAAAGACTCCTCCAAAGGGTACAATAATGCATTTTGAGCCGTCATTTTGGATCATGCTTATAAAAACTTGGCCTACTAGAGTAACGTCATTTTATGCAACTTGAATTTGGTGCCGCTTTGAAGCCAGTATCTTTAAGTCCGAAAAACAGTGGCTTGACTAACCTCGAACAAAAGCAGCGACGAAGTGGTCTGTAACGTAAACGGTATGAAGCGATTGCTTCTTGTAAACTGCTATCAGTGTTAACGTATTTGTGGTGCAAGCGATAACAGATTGAAATTAACAGGCCGTAAATTAGCAATTTTTGCTGACGACTCCAAATAGGTCATTTCCGAGTTCCCCCGGGCCTCTGTTTCAAAACGAGGGTAGGTGCTAAGCCTTTGATATAGAAATCATTTTTCATTCTCATGCAAATAAAACTCGTTTTCACAAGAAAGGTTATGCACCTAGCCTCATTTTGAAAGTGAGGGTTTTTGGAACTCGCGGAAGTGGCCTATTATAAAAGATCATTTCAAAGCCTACTTATAACACTGATCTTTCTCCAACAAAAATTGACTCAGCTCGCCAGTTAACTGGAGTCACACCTGGGTAATGAGTCTCAGCATACCAAGGAGAAAGATCCTGAATATCTCCAGGAAGAAAATCGCCGTCAAACAGAGAATACCACCTAGATGGGACGTCACTAACAACCACAGCTAGCGAAACCATCGACTAGGGCATAACCATTAAGGACAACCTTCAGTGATCTCAACATGCAAATCAGATCTCCCTGAGCGCAAACCGTACTCTTGACCTTATTCGTCGAATCTGCAGAGACACGGTAACACTCACTGACAGCAGGAAACTTTTATACTGTTCAATTGTTCGATCCAAAGTAGTGAACTTTGGTCTCCTTACACTTCTAAGGACAAAACTTTGCTAGAAAATGTCCAGCGCAGAGCTACTAAGGTTAATTTGAATTAACGAAGAGAGATGTTTTATAAGGATCGGTTACTCAAACTTAATTTATTGCCACTGGAGTATAGAAAGTATCCTCATCTTTAAAGCCAAAGCAGGCCACGTAGATCTCGGCCATCAAGACATCTTCCGGCACACAGAAATACACTATCGCACGCGCAATGCATCCAAATTAAATTCAACTACCATATACCTTATGCAAAACAAAACTATTTAAAACACTCATTTTGTTATCGATCGATAGCTACTTGGAACAAGCTACCTGTAGACATCAAAAGCACGAATCAGTCGCCTTCTAGTTTAAAGAAAAGGATTTAAGATATTTACACTCGCAATACTCTATCTTATGTCTTTTCAACCAGTGGGGTATAGGGTGATACTTATGTTTCTGTTTATGGGGAGAGGGGTAAAGAGCGCTTAAGATTGGGGAGGGGTCTGTTATTTGCGGTATTCCATCTGGTTCTTGGGACAAGATATCAACTGGGACATTGTACTGTCTCCTGCTCCGGTTGCATTATTTACTGTATTTTACTTTGTTTTTCTTTATCTAACGTATTTTATATTTTTATGTACATATTAACTGATAACATGCAACGAATTGAATAAAGTTCAAGTTCAAGTTAAATTTGACAGTAACAAACTCATACCCCGGTCCAGCCTTCTGTTCGGGGGAGGAGCGTGGGCTCATTTCCGAACAGCGACTGGTAACCGAGCCTAGTCTGAAGGCGAGGCAATCAGAGACGATGCGTGAGCGCCGTTTTAGAAAATCAGAGCATGCTCGAGGGCTGTTGGCTCCGGCATGAAGGAAGTGCAAAGGGGTCAACTTTTTCCACAAATGAACAGTCGCTGAAGTTAACTCGGTTGAGAGAGTGAGCATCATTCCCTTGTATTGTAGAGCGTTTTCACTCACGTGGCCAGCATCTGCATGTGCAAATTTATTGGAACATAAAGAAAGCGTTGTACACACAAACAGAGTTCAACTCTCACAGGATTGGTTTGAGACACCAACATGGCTGCAGTTTCATTGTTTTAGAACACCAATATGCATGGCCGCTAAGACGTCATGTGAAAACGCTCTATAGTGGTAGGATATGAGGTAAACTTTGACCAATCAGGAAGCACGGGGTTTTATTACCGCCAGAGAAATTATAGAAATATTCCTTATTAATTTATTCCGTACCGTAAAGATTGAGCCTCATAAAGAAAGTGCATTGCGGATTTTGTGTCAGTTCCTCCCTTATGTGTTAGGCAAAATCTGTTTCGTTTGGTGAAGCCGACCATAACATTTGGGCAAGTGTTTAAATATGTTTTTTTTTTTCTTGATGATATCGATAAAAACCGTCGAGAGTAAACAAAGGAGAAGGACACAAAAGAAAAGCTTGCACGTGATCCATAGGAACAAACGGTTTTTTTTTATTTTCAAGATCTCACTGAGTCTATTGCCCTTATACCCACAGCGAAGTTTACACAATAGAAAAACCAGCTGAAAATAAACTTAAAAACCGTCATTCAATTGCAAATTATACAGCAGTATGTATTGCCTATTGGATACAGATGTTGAGGCTCACTTAGCCGGCGATATATTAAAAAAAAACCTATGGTATTTAAAAGGCCATGATGGTCATACATTCACTGTAATTTTACCCTCGGTAACTCGAACCCTCGATAACTCGAACTCCCGCTAACTCGAACCAATTTTCGTTTCCCCTCAGGTCATTTTCTATATAATCTTACCCTCGATAACTCGAACCATGTTTTGAGCCCTTAAAAAGTCGGGAAAAAGGCCGTCTACAGGCGTCCGAAACATTGAATTTTGGATTTTCTATTGACGTGTTGTAGGAGTATAGTTTACTAGTGGAGGCTGATGTTGATTTTCACAGGCTAACGTGAAGCTGCTTTTCTTCTCAAAACAGTAAAACGCATGCTCTATTTAGGCTATGTTTTGTTACGTTAGGTTCTGATTTATAATCTAGAAGTATCTATTAATTTTCACTTGACATTTCTGCAATTAACTGTGATTAAAATATTCACTGTGCAGTAAAAACTGCTTTTTACGTTACTCTCGGCTATTTTCATCGAACTCCCGATAACTCGAACTCTCGATAACTCGAACCTTTTTTCGATTTCCCTTGAAGGTTCGAGTTATCGCGGGAGTCGACTGTAGTCGCAAAAATGACCTAGGACTAATGCCACAAGTTTGGTTGTAATTTGCTGTCTTGTATAAGGCTGTTTAAAACGTTTATGATATTACTACCTAATCCGTAGCAAAGCAACCTATCTTGGCTAGCGAAATCAGCCACAAGAACAACAATAAAACTGGTCATAGTTATTCGCAATTTCATCACATATACTTGTAGTTCATTTCTAAGTTACAACTAACGTTGCAGCGGTTTTGTTTTCACTGATGTTACTAAAAAAAGCTAAAATGTATCTGTCCTTTTCACATATAAGTATTTTAAAGTTCTGATTTGTTAATAAATGTCCACTGGCAAAGATAAACGACTGCCGTTCAATTTAGAAGAGTAACGAAAGCTGCGTTGGTTTGGAAATTAGGAATGATCGATTTGTTAATCTTTGCCCGGACCGCCCAAATTCTATTCTTGTTGCTTCCAAAACATTATCCCCTTTAATGCATCTCTAAATTCCTTTTTCCTTGCGGCGTAAATCCACGGATTAAGTGCAGCGTTCGAGAAAGTGAGAAAAAGCGCCCATGTACCCCAAGATTCAGACGACTGATTCTCTTCACATGAAGTATGTTTATCCGACACCTCAACAATGGAGAAAGCCAAAGCAGGAAATGTAGTCAAGTAAAACACGCTTGTGACAATAGCTACGGTTATCGCCGCTTTCCTATTTTGCGTATAAGAAGCAATTACTGGCACGCCTTACTCGCGTATAGTTCGTTGCTGACGAAGCACTTCTTTGAAAATATAAAAGTAACAGTAAGAGATGACAACTCCGGGAAATATGAATACTGTACAAACAGTTGTAATCCAAAAATCGTCTTCGAGGATAATCAATCGTAGACTAGCCATGAAGCTTGAAACAGCACAAATCATAGCAGCGACGCATTTAAATCGAAAAACTGTTACAATGGTGTTATAGCGTAAAGGATAAAGCACTCCTATATACCGTTCCAAGCTGACGGCGCACAAGTTGTATGTTGATACGGCGACAGACAAAACGTAGACGCAATCTACACAAACACTGAGCGGATGTTCCTCGTCCCCTAGGTGTAACAGAGATCGAACGACCCATAATGGCAGCGCAAAGAACCCCACAAAGAAGTCACTAAGGGCTAAAGCAGCGACGAAGTAGTTTGTAACGGTATGAAGCGATTGTTTCTTATAAACTGCCATCAGTGTTAACGCATTTGTGGTGCAAGCGATAACAGAAATTAACAAGCCAAAAATTACCGTTAAAATAACGTTCCAGCTCGCTGTCGGAAGTTCATGGCAAAGGTCGCTCGCCATTACGAAGTTGATTCTAAGTAACTGGTATCCCAGCACCTCAGGACGATCTGAAAAATTTACAATTTTGATTCAATTTATAAAGCCACTCTGACAAATGCCGGGTGTGAGCATGATGCACTTAAGTTATGTCAACAAGTCAGGTCTTTTAACATCAGCGAAATTAATTTAAGGCTTTTTGGTGTTCTTCCTCGCCTTCCTTAATTTCCAGTTTTTCTGTGGATACGTATCTTTATTAGTAACTAGGCGCCGGGCCTGTAAGGAACAGAGTTTTCGAAAAAAAACTACATGTATTCCAACGCCCCTCTTTCTAAAAAATTGCCGATCAAAATTCACACCGCGACGATTTATATTGCAATATGCACGGTCACTATCACAACATCAATCGAAACTATGAGTCCCTATCCTCCCTTTAAATCCGACTTCGTCGGTGGTCCGTCTGTAGCACTATCATAGGAGCTTTACAACTTAAGGTAATTTCCTTGAAATTGTTCTACCATCAAACTTTTTTTGAAACTTGGCATAATCAACATTCATGATTTGAAAATTGAAAAAATGCAATAAAAAGATGGGGTCACAGTGTTTGTTTACGCGTCAGCAGGCTCTTAAACTGGGGTATTTTTACTGCTTGCGCGTTAAAAATTCGAATACCTCTTCTTACAGAATTAAGTCTTTGTTACTTGAAACACACAAAATTTTATCTTGAACGTAAATCTTCTTATTGTTCAAATAAGCAATATTGCTTCATTTAATTCGTTTTCGATTGCTTGGTTGTGAGGATATTGCACCTTTTAGGTCAGTTCCGTGGTTAGCTTGAAGTCCTCCCCTTGACCCAAATACACCAAATACGAAACTATTTTCGCCACAAAATCATGTTCTACTATAAAACGTTTTCTTTCTTCTTCAAATATGTTCTTTATTAGACTGTTCTTAACAAATACCTGGGAAACAATTTGGGGTCACCGTGTTTGTTTCCTCATAAACTGCTGTGAAAGGTAGACGGTTCTGAGATCGCAATCAGGATGGATAATTTGCGCGGAGGGGACTGGGGCGAGATACAAAATAACGCCCATCGTGTTCGAAGTATGCCCTTGAGATCAAGCTTGTTTTCGGTTCTTTTTATGTGTTTGATATCGCCAACACAGAAAACGTGAAAAGAGTATTCGGGAACACGCACTTTTCTTTCATTTTCTTGTTTTTCGATAGCAAACCAGCAAGCTGTCAGCCGATCTGCGGCATTATTATTGCGAATAAAAGCTTTAGCTCTGCAAAAGAGACCCTTGTTTGTTCTTTTCGCCCTAGTGGGAAGAACCGCCGCCATCTTGGATGTGGCAATGTTATGCACAGTAGAGGGTGCGCAGTGCAAAACAAGGGAATTACCTTAAAACTATCTGTCGTTCAAGATATTAAGACCCTGCTGATATTCTAGTTCAAATAATCCAGATATTTCGACAGGTACAGAGCGTACCGTTGTCATGCAAAAGATTCTTGCTGACCAATATCAGTGGAAATTGTAATTCTTCAAGCAATTTTTATCAATCTCATTTACCTGTACGTGGTTACTTTTCTGAACTGTGTTTTGTAGAAATAAATTGGCCAGCTTTTTCCACTTCAAATAAAGCAAACAATTAAGATGACAGGTGCAAAATGCACTGTGGTCATCCATACCCGAAGTCTTTTCATTCAACAGACGTCTTTGAAAGTATTCGCTCCTCATGCAATTCTCATTCTGAGCCTCATTCATTTCCTATAAAGCATTTTAAGTTTCTTGGTAGAAAAAATTCTCAAAACAGGTTAGGCCCCACCTTCAAATATCATATACGACTCTCAAAGACCTCAGTTAAGTTGGTAAGTGTCGATGCACTTTCGTTTTATGATGAAACACGAAGGGAATAATCAATCGTCGTTTTCTATTTCAGTTCATTTTCCAATTTCTGAGCATACAGTCGCTCTTCAAACAGATCTTGGTATATTGTAAATAATGGCTGCAAAACTGAAATCGCGGCAATGATGTTTTATAGGGCTCACAAATTTTGTAGTTGCCGGTTTCAAGATTAACCAAGTAAAGCAAAAAAGAAACGTTGTGGACTGTCCAAAGTTGATGATGCGAACATAGGCTTTAATTATGGTTCTTTCTCTGATCTACTGCTCGTTTTCATTGCTCCCGGTGTCCCCCTCTCTTTCTCTTGCCTTCTAATTTTGAAGGTATTGCGGTAGTAGGAAGAACTTCCTTCTCCTGGGGGGACACAAGACCAAGCCACTTTCATCGTCTCCTATGTGGCTTGTGTGCTGATCACAATAAGTCCTGTTTTGCCTTCCTTCTTATTTATTCATTGATAACTCCCATTAGTCCGCAAAATATCATAAATTAACATAACAACATTGTTTGCTAGATGGTGTCCAGCCTTATTCATGCGCCAAGGTTGACCAGCACTAGCCTTATTAACCTTGATGGGTCTTCTCTCAAACCCTTAAAAGAGTTCCCCAGATTTTGTTCAGTTCACTGAACGCCCCTCTTTGATTTCATTTCCCTGTTCAGTACCTCTTTTCAGCTGACAGTTTCTCCCAAGATAACAATTGAAATATGTCTGCCACAACACGATTATTATTGCTTTGGTTTCGACATTCTTGACCTTATGGCACTCCTTTGCAAGACTTTGGTCCTTTTTACACAGCCCTAACCTTTTTGTTTGGGCATGCGTGTTTTGGGCTCGGCAGAAGAAAGAACTAAAAAGTGAGGTCATTGCCAAAGTTAAGATTATCTCCCAAGTTACTTGACATCACAGACAGACATTTACAATTCATTAAATTCAAGTCCAACTTTCTTGACTGGAAATCGAGCGCGTTAAAGAAAAAAAAAGCAATTGCGCCACCATCACGTAATTTCCTTTAACTGTTCTCTTATCGGCCACAGAATCTCGACTAATCATCGTGTGAGAAGTTAAGAGCTCAGTTATTGAAAAATGCATTTTTGATATACTTACTTAGTTACTGCTCGCTATGCCCGGTGCAAAGAAGTGCAGCAACAAAGGTCCTCTACTCCTATCTGTTTTGGGCCAGCTTCGCGATGGTACCCCAGGTGTGGTTTAGGGTCTTCATCTCTTCCTCTTCAGTTCATCGCCAGGTGTTCTTCGGTCTGCCTCTCTTGCGCTTGCCTTCTGGTATCCAGTGTAGGGCTGTGCGGGTGATGTTACCAGGTTCTTTCCTATTAAGCACGTGCCCAGTCCACCTTCACCTTCTCCTCATGATGATGGTCTCCATTCAGTCTTGACGACAACGAGCAAGCAGTTGTTCCTTTGAGATGTTGTTGGGCCAGAAGATTCTCAGGATTCATCCCAGGCTCTTTGTGTGAAAAACGGAGAGCTTGTTAAGGTCACTGGCAGTCATCCTCTAGCACTCTGAGCCGTATAACAAGAGAGAAAGTACACAGCTCTGGTACAGCTTCAGCTTGGTTTATGTAAATTACTGCTGGGACCTCCAAAAATTGTTGAGGATTCTGAAGGCATTTATGGCCTTGCTGAGACGGTTCTTTACGTCATTGCCTGCTCCTCCATCACATCTAAAAGTGATGCCTAAGTAGGTAAACTCCTCAGGCGTGGGTAATTCTTCTCCATTCACCTGCACCGGTAAGGGTTTTGGGATGTTCAATGTCATCGCCTCTAGCTATCTTCTGCGGGCTGATCTTCAGGCCTTTATCTGCTGAGGGTATGTATTAAGGCGAGATGTCTTCTCCTGAAAGTGTTGGTAGGTGTAGGAGACCAGAACCAGGCCATCAGCAAGGTGCAAGTGTTGTTAAGAGGGTCCATATTGTACCGCTAAACGTATGCCTCTCGACTGATTTCCCGTTGTTCGTTGCCTCACCCAGCCAATGGCTATGTTCAACAGGATATGGATGGAACAGATATGCTGTAGCTTGCCTTCCATTTGACTAGCCTCCAATCTTCTCGCAGCTCCGCCGCTAAGTATATATCGGGCCTCCTTTCGGAAGAGTTTTCCTGGGGTTCGACCTTCGTAAGCGACCACTAAGCTTTTATGGTTTTTCATAAATGACAGAAAGAGTCATAAGTAGCTACAAGCGTGGTTTATTAACACTTTTTTCGTTGACCTATACCTGAATTAGCCTCCCACGCAGGCGTTTTTACGGGAGCTCGTATTTCTTCCCTCCCCACAAGAAATACGAGCTCCCCTAAAAACGCTTGCGTGGGAGGCTATACCTGAATAGAAGCAAGAAAAAATTAAATATTTGTTAGCGTTATCCTTACTTTAAGAAAACAGCTAAATCCGCTAAGTTGCATTTTGCGACGTTTTTGTTGATGCCCCCATCTACAATTCATCTTTGAAAGTGTTGCTAAGACAACCAAAAGAGCTGACTTAATTGCCAAATCATTTATTCTAATTTTTTTATTTTTATGTTTTCCTTTGCACATTGTTTTTTAGTCTAGTCAATATTCATATCACCGTATCTTGAAATGAAACCGGCTTTAGATATATATTTTAAACAGTTATTACCATATGATGCTTTAATTGGCACATTAACATAACAATTTTGAAAACAGCAGACAGTAGTTTTAATGTTCATTTGTATTGCCCCAGTTTGTTTGTTTGTTTGTTTGTTTTTTTGAGGACTTAAGGCATCAATAGCTGCTTATATTGCTGCTTTGTTGCCTTCTATCGAGTTTCTTGGTTCCTTTTAAAAACTGATCTTGCCGTTTAAGGACAGCTGGTCCGAGCTAGTTATTGTTAATGTGCTTGTCGTATACTCCTCATAATAGATGGCAGCCCATTAATTCTTTAAGCCCCAATATCCACATACAAATTCTCCAAACTGATCTCTATACATTTCCTTAAAGAATGAGTTGAGTGAATTTGATAAAAGATCAAAGCATTTTTTCTAAGGTGATCAGTTTATTAATTCTCATAACCTAATCTCTTGACATTGTATGGATATTGTTAGGAGAAAATTGATGTTGGTCACTGTTGGGACTTAAAGTGTTCATGAAATGAATTAGTGCTACACTGTATATATGTATGTTCATCGCTAATATGACACTATCTCAGAGTCTGTATTTATTCTAGGGTTAAAAACTATGAAAGAAATTTGTAAGTCAATCGGTTTAAGATCTACTACCGCAGCAACGGGGTGACGCATCAGCCATTTCATCCGTTCATAATTAGGTTTATTTAGAGCGTTGTTGTAGACTTCCCTTGTTCCAACATTTCGATGAAGAATTATACATTAACTATGGGTGACAACCGTAAAAAGGAAGATCCTCGTTGCAACGACCATTGTCAAGGACACAGTTTATCTGCTGACATTTTAAGCTCTAGACTTGTGGCTTCCTGGCGCACCGGATATAGATCGGTTTTAGTGGTGGAATAAATCGCAATCATAGTTAGCCCTGATGAAGGGGAAACCACTTTCTACATTATTCTTGTTTATTCCAAAACAATAAAGTTTTTAGCGCGTCTCTATATTCTTTTCTCCTGGCAGCATAGATCCAAGGGTTAAGGGCAGCGTTCCAATAATTTAAGAACAGGGTCCATGTACCCCAAGACTCGAGGGACTGCTTCTCTTGACACGAAGCAGTACGAGAAAAAACCTCAGCTATGGAGAAAGCTAGAGCAGGTAACGTAGTCGAGTAAAACACGCCGGTAACTATACCTACGGTTATCGACGCTTTTCTGTTCTGCATGTAAGAAGGAAATAACGGCCCACTTTGAGCGCGTATGGTTCGTTGTTGACGAAGCACTTCTCTGAAAATATAAAAATAACAGTAAGAGATAACAACTCCGGGAAATAAGAATACTGTGCAAACAGATATTATCCAGAAATCGTCTTCTTGGACAATCCAACGCAGACTAGCGATGAAGCTGGAAACAACACAAATGATAGCAGCGACGCATTTAAACCTAGAAACTGTAGCGATGGTGTCGTAACGTAACGGATAAAGCACTCCTATATACCGTTCCACGCTGACGGCGCACAAGCAGTATGTTGATACGGCGATGGACAAGATGTGAATGAAGTCAACCCACATACTGACCGGGTGTTCCTCGTCTGCTATTCGTAAAAGCGATCGAGTTATCCATAGTGGTAGCGCAATGAATCCAACAAAAAAGTCACTAAGGGCTAAAGCAGCAACGAAGTAGTTTGTTACCGTGTGAAGAGATGGCTTTTTATAAACTGCAGTCAGTATTAACGCATTGGTGGAGCAAGCGATAATAGATATGGACGCACCAAGGGTAGCTGTTACGATGATATTCCACTCCTCTGTTGGAAGTTCATCACATTCACTTTCCATAATTCTGAATATTTTATCTGTCTAGTGCTTTAGGATCAATGAAATTGTTCAGCTATACAAAAGGACCCTGACCCTGTTGAACCCAAGCGCTTATTGTGTCCTTTCTAAAAGGGAAAGCGCAATAAAAGGACTTTGAGAATCTTTGTTCTACGAGCACAAAGGACCATGGGAATGTGGAGCACCTGAAAGACAAATAGTAATTCATTTTCACTAAAAATGCTTTTTCATAAATATCAGTCAACATTGCACGACAATGATGAGGTACAATTGCAAATTTTACATCTGGTGACTTCGTAAACTGTCGTTTGGTCTGCGCATAAATTTTGAACCACTATTAATTTTCTACCACTGTCCTTCCCACCAATTCATCCTTTAATTTGTTCTTTCGAATGCCTTTCATAAAACAGGGGCACCCAACGACTGTTTTCTTTAAAATATCTGTTCGGAGAAACAAATATTGCCAACTGAAGAATTTTCTATTGCTTTGAGGAAGGCTAAAAAGTTCTTGATGACCGTTCCATTCGTGTACTATTTTCGAAGGTGTAATAAATTCCCTACGATTTTCTGAAGTTTAATTTCTCACATTTCATCCCCAAGGTTAGGCTTTTTTTAGTAGAAAAAAGGAAACCTTCAATTTTCGAATTCAAAAATGCGAGGAGAGAGGGAACAGAAAAATTTTCACTTTCATAATACGTAAAATTGCATCTAAAATTTTCGGGAAAACAATTTCGAAAAGTTTCTAGTTCTTCTACGATGACCGAACAGATACAAATTTTATAGCGCCGCTTAGAATGCATTTTTAGAGATCTAAACGTACTCTTAATTGTGTAAAAAGTGTTTTCAGTGTATTTACGAGGAAACCGTCGTTGGGTGCCCCTGATACAAAGAAATTATGATTGGGAGACTGATGGTTATCTCCTTTAACATCAAACATCCTTGTATGACCGCTCTTTAAAAAGAACTTGATACATTGTAAATGGCTGCGAAAATCGACAATGTTGTTTTAGAGGGCTTACAAATTTTGTATTTGCCCATTTCAAGATTAACCAAGTAAAGCAAAAAAGAAACGATGTGGACTCTCCAAAGCTGAAAATAGGCTTACGAAAGCATTAAATATTTAAACTTGACTTTTATCGCTCAAATGTGGACACTATCTGGATATAAGGAATTGTTGTCGACCATCCGATTGTTGTCTATCATCATCGTCATCATCATCACCAGCACCACCACCACTACCACCAACACCATTTAACCCTAATGCTCTCCCTATGTGGTAAAAAGGGTTAAAAATCTTACTAATTACGGTCTCTGTCTCGGGAAACGATAGAGGCCTAGCTTATAACCCTGGACCTCAGTCCAAGCCCTTTTAGTTCTTTCTCTGATCTACAGCTCTTTTTCATGTCTCCCGGTGTCTCCCTCTCTTTCTCTTGCCCTATTCCTTTCAAGTTATTGCGGCGGCAGGAGAAGCTACAATGTAGTTTCTCCCGCCCCTAGTGTTACGCATGACCAAGCCTTTTCACTCTCGCAGTTACCTCTGAGTCATCACATGGGGCTCAAACTCGGTATTCATGTTACGATGATTATCGCCACAAATGATTGGTATCTTTCTCATGTAAAATTACAACTAGTATAATTCTCGAAACGTTAAAATATACATACAAATACAGAGTTCTCCTTAATACCACAGGGGCCCGGACATTTATGAAACCGCTTATTTTTTATCCGGATTTCGCGTGGAGGGGGCATTAAACCAGCCATTTTGCTTAGCAGTTAAAAAAACAAACAAACAAACAAAAAAAAAAGACAGATTCGCCGAGCGGATTCACTGGTTTCATGTGTACGGAATGTTGATTCGTGGAATGTAATATATATACGGTTTCAAAAATACCCAGATTCCGGTGTGGACGGAGCCTAAGAATCTAGCCCCCGAACACCCTAGAAGGCGGATCAACCTAGCGTCATATTGTTTCTTTATTTAGTTTACATGTCAAGGGTTGTACTTGTCCCTAGCGCTATGAGGATATTCGTAGTAGCAGGATCTTCCTTGCTAAGAGGTAAAACGATCCTAGCACCGGGGCGGATCCAGGATTTTTTTAGGAGGGGGTGCACTCGTTTCTTGCTCTACTTCAACACCAATAAACCAGATAGTTTTTTTTTTTGCAGAATACCAGGTGTATTAGAAAACCGAAGGTCATCTCAGGGGTGGGGGGGGGGTGCGCACCCTCCCCCTAGATCCACCCCTGTAGCAAGAGGAACTTCTTAGCACCAAGTAGACTGCTTCCGCTAGGAAGATTCCATCCTCGGAGACCCAGGGGCAGTCAGTCGGGTCGGGAGAAAAGGCAGGACGAAAGGAGCGGAGAAACTGTTCGCCGATTGGGCACAACAATACAAAGCATTTTTTGTGCCCAATCAGGAGGCGGCATTCGCTTGAATCTTTGGAAATAGCTCGGTGAGAGTCGGTACCCAGGGGCTCTTTTGCCCATACTTGGAAACTTTCGTCCCGCCTTTTCTCCCGACCCGACTGACTGCCCCTGGGTGTCCGAGGATGGGAAGATTCTCGTACTAGGGTCAAACTAGAGAAGAATGATGGCGGGCCGTTTGGTGGTTAATCAAGGACATAAGGCTGAAAATTTTGCCTGGCGTTGGCAGTTGTAAAGAACTGCCAGTTTCTGCTGAAAGGTAGTTATTGCCGCTAGTAAAGAAAGCAAAAGGGCCAGCATGGTATGTCACCGCTATTGTCACCCGCCATCTTTAATTCCTTTTCTGCATCAACGAAAAGGTTTTCCACCTTTTAGGATCTTCCTCTCTCCATGTAAACAGCCCCTTACTGAGCAAAACAACAAGTCTGCTCGGGCAGCACTCTTTTTTGTACATTTTGTACATTCAAGAACCCGTCACTGGTATCTGTACTGGTAAATGTCAATTAAAATGCGTCTTTCTCTAATTCACTGCAGCAATTTAAACTAAGCCACATCAATGATAATACTGTTTCAGTATGCCACGACTTTTTAACGATATTGCCACCTAATATGGCATCCGTTTGTAAGTCGTCAGGCAAACTGGAAGGTGGAACGACTACGGAACGCGGCATTGAGAGCCACATATAGATCCCACTCGGATACGTATGAAGAACTCTTAGAGAGGGCTAATTAACCTTCCCACGTTGTATAGACGTCTTCAAGGCATCGTAGTACTGATGTATAAAGTCAAGTATGGTCTTGTGCCAGATAATGTTTTCAACTTGTTCTTTCGTAACGATTCTGCGCATTCACTCCGAAATAATGACTTTGTCACGCGTTTCAGCACCCTTCGCTATGGAAAACATTCTATCAGATATATGGTCTAAACTAAACAAAGTTCTACGAGAGGCTTCTGCTAGCCAGTTTTAGGAAAAAATTTTTGTTAGAAAATTGAACTTTTCAGAGCATATTTAATCTCATATTTCTAGTAACTGCAGTGAATAGATCAGACAACAAGTTATTTATTTATTTAGCTATTTTATGTTATCATTAACTATCACAGTATTGTAATTGTCTACTTTCCGTTGTATTTTATCGAGGGTGTGGATTTTATTGTATTCTAAATAATTATTTTTAGCATTTTCTTTTAATAGTCATAATCAACTCAGTGTGGTTAAAACAACTTCCATCCGCAGACAGGCATATCCTCGAGATACCTCTTAGGAATTTAAGCCGAAAGTGAATGAGTCACAGCAAGAGAGGATAAAGGGGACAGAGAGGGCATCCCCCATACACACACTATTCCACAGGTAATTCGTCTCGAGTTATTTTTAAGACCACAGATCCCAATCAATCACATAGCGCGAATGTGTTCCGCGTGGATGACCCACACTCAGAGCAACGCGTCCTTCAAGAATTGACGCAGAACAAAATGGACGCGGGGAGCGATATTGCCATTCGTTTTGTCGACGAAAACAACCACAGAGCAGAGGGATTTCTGCTAAAGCTGTGTCAGCGAAACGGAAATTAAAAAAGAATCGCCCTTCCTCTGTTGTATAGAGCTAACAGTACAGCAGGGAAATCCTTAACACACTGATTATTCCTCAGGATCATTTATAATTTACAGTTTGAAGAGAGCAATTTCTGGTTTGATATTTATTCTTTTATTAGTCTTTTATTATTCAACAAAAATAACACCTGGCGTCCTACTTGCATTACTGTACAAACGACCGGTTTCAAAAGACCGGCGAAATTACTCATTTTATTAAAGCACTGAGGTTACGACAACCTCGAGTAAACTGATTTCACGGGTTGTCAAAGAGTCCAGCGATTCCCTTTCCCCAGGTGAGCGCCGACTCATTTCGCTTCAATATTCAGGAATGCTCTCGATCCCTTTACGCTTTGATTGCCTTTCGCCCGACATGTTTTGCACGGCGTTTAGTCATAAGAAACCTCTACGAAACATCCTCGCAGCGCGCAAGGTAACTTTATCTCGATTCTAAAAATAACTCGAGACGAATTACCTATGGAATAGGGTGTGTATGGGGGATGCCTTCTCTGTCCCCTTTATCCTCTCTTGGTCACAGGCAGGGATCGAATTTGAGGTTTTAGATTTATCCAATTTTGTTTTGTGTTGGAGTGAAAGGTCAGTGAGTACTTAAGTCATGCGTGCAATTTTCACGATGTGTTGAAATGAGAGTCAGCCAGACCTACAACTAGTCGAAAAGCTGACTACGCCCCTGTTTTGGTATAATTATTGTTTTTCTTCCCTCGTAGGAAGCCCAACATTTCCAAATTCAACTGAAACGTAAAACCGACAAGACACGGCCTTATTTAATTAGTTAGAAGACAAAAATGACCACTTAAAACCCATTCGTTATACAGTTTTTATTGCTTTTCGCCAACTTATCGTTGACCGATGCGACGCTTTATATATTAACATTGTTAACTAGTTGAGGTACAATACAATGGGTGATTTTGTTAACTTTGAGTCTAAACTTCTTCTTAGGAAAGATCATCACTGTCGCTTTCTCATGTTGGCCTTGATGTATTTCCTGTGGTTACTTTCTATATCTGAAGCGATAACCAGGTATGGCTTTTGAGCTGCGCCAGCGAACCTGAGCACCTGCTCCCCATCGGCTACGAGGAAGAGCATCTTGAAAATCATACTCCTCATTCTCGCTTTAAAGAATGAAAAAGAAAAGATTAGAGATTTAGATCAAAAGTTGGCACAATCAAAAGAAAACGTGGAAGGATTGTACTGTCGCACTTTGTTGTTGTTGTCGATGATGACACTTATTACTGGGTTTACTTGTCCTTCGACCATCTATTTAAAGAATGAAAAGTGTGACAGCTTTTTTTTTATTACAAAATGGTCTGTTATTACAAAGTGCGACAGCTTTTTTATTACAAAGTGCGACAATTTAGGATCAAAGTGTGACAATTTTATTGGCGACAATCAAAAAAAAACATGGAAGGATAGAGAATAAAAATAGCTCGCTCATAAAGTTACCTCTATACATTAAAGTGATTTCCTGCTACAAAATTGTCAACATCTTAATTTTGCGAGGTAGATTGTCCGTCAGTTCTTCGTATTGGCTTTAGCACTAAAATTACTTTAAATGCGCTTGTCATGTTTTGTGTTGAAAGGGATAAATTTGGTCGTTTGGTTGAAATTCTAAGGTCACTGTTTTATTAATTACCTAACTGATTTAGTTAGTTCAAAACTTTTCATTAAGTCGCACCAATCCGGAAGTCAGGGACCTTTTTTGAAGTTGTAATGCTAAAATCCCCACATAAAAGATAGTAAAATCATAAAATTGATTTTCTGTATCACTGAGAATTAGGAAATTAAGTATACATTTAAGTATATCTCAAAGTGTCTCTCTCTTCGCTAACTGAGGGCGATATATACGGGCATGCAACGTACATTGAAAAATCTAACGAGCAAAAAACAAAACAAAACAAAAGGTAAGGGTAGGTAAGGTAAAGGCGCACACGAGCCAAAGTCCCAAACGCCCGGAGCTTATACCGGTTTCCGTAGCATGAAGTATGCCTACGGACTACTGCTAATCCCCCCCTGGACGGGATGCTAGTCCATCGTAGAGTTACCCCCCAGCAGTATGTCGCCGGTACCCATTTATACACCTGGGTGAAGAGAGACAAAGGGAGTAAAGTTCTTTGTCTAAGGAAACAACGCGATGGGCGAGGCTTGAACCCCTGACAGTTCGAGGTTATAACCGCTCGACAACACACGCCTCCACTAAAACAAAAAACGCCTATTAAATTTATTTTGTAGAGGTTTTCGGTACCCTGATAACTTTTTATCATAAACACTAGTTGTGGATATATTGTAAATTTTAAACACTTCTACTTACGATTCATCTCCTTGAGCATCAAAGAAATCTTCAAAGGAATCATCATCTCCTCTGGTATTTGGGGTTTGATGTTTGCGCGTCATATCGTCAATGTCGCCTTCAAACATGTCTCGTCGGCCATTCAAAGCATTCCTTTTTGTACTCACAAAGGCAATAGAAAAGCAGAGCAGAATAGTCGCAATACCGATAGGAAAGTGAAGCACTTTGGTCATCATTGTTTTTTTTTTCTTAAGGTTCCCCTAGAGTCTGAAAACGTACAGGCCAAGGAGTGATTTGACTTCGTTAAGCGTGGCCGTGAGCTTATAACTCCGATAAATGTTTCTGGTGCGAACCTTGTTTGGCCACGAACCGGAAATAACATGTGAAATTAAGGTTCGAAATCAATTTGAAACTTCTACTCGCACAGGTTCGTAAGTAGGAAACCTTTACTAAGTTTAATGCTCGATAACTAATTGACTAATTGATTAAATGAAATAATAAACCATAGGACTTAATAACAGTGACAAAGAATCGTTGGTAATTAACTGATCAAAAATAAAATCAATAAACGGTCTCAATAAATACTGAAATAAGCGAAAGATAATTCATCAACTGTTCATTTAATCAAATTATGTGTTAATTCAGTGATTAATTTTGAGGACATATATATTTAGTATATACACACTCAGTGATCTTGGTGATTGAAGCAATCTGATTGGTTCGCTATCTAGAACTATTGAACAATAGTCACCTCCTAGCAAGTGAATAATGAGTGAGTTCGGTGTTTTTCCCATTTTTTTAGAGAATGATCTTTTGAAAGTCGATAAAATCCTTGAAAAGGGTTGACTTTTTTTACTGCGCTTTTCACAAACATGATTATTTTGAAGTTCAAAAGCCAACTGACCACGTGGATTTCGTTTTTCGCTGCCGTCAATCATCTTAACGGACCTCAGTTTTAGGAAACAAAACTTTACTTTAACAGGTTCAAAAGGTCATGGTTTCTGATTTGTGATTGGAAGATTTCCATCCGTTTTGTGTGTTTCTGTGTTTCAAGGTTCGTTACTTAATGATCGTAATTATGATTGACGGCAGCCAAAAACGCAATTGTGAAGGCGGCGTTTGAACTTTAGAGTTCGCATGTTTTTGAAAAGCACAGTATTATAAGGCAAGAAAAGACTTCAAAGGACTCAAAACGGCGTTTTTCTGTGTGCTGTTGCTGAGTTTTGTGCTCTCTGGATCAACTTCCGTTTATTTGCGTAGAAGAGGCCGTTTCGTGAACTCGGCTTTTCAACAAGAAAAATTTGGCCCAAAAATCGAAGTATCTTTATGACAAACAAATTTGAAAGCAAATGTTTGCAGAAATTCTACGTTTCAAGTAAATTGGAAAAAGAATGCTACAGGAAGACGACGTGTTACCTCGAGCAACCGAGCTGCCATTTTTGTCAGCACTTCATGCGAAGAACGACACAACAAACAGCTTTTGGCCATAAACTTGGCGAGTCAACAGAAAACAACAAAGCTCTACTTTTCTTCTCAGATAAGGCAACAATTCAAAGTAGATACAGTTTCCATTGAAGCCATTACGCTGTTGTTTGCGAAATGATAAACTTTCGCGTGATTTGATCTGTCAATGAAATTGTACTTTTTAATGGTTTCCTCTCTGATTTTGTTGAGATCACTTCTTGTGCATATACTAATACAACTATTCTTTTCAATCTCGGTTCAGTGGCTTTGGGAATATTTACCTCGATTTCAGAGAATGATATGCATATGCATTTTCTCGATTTGTCTGGCTTCATTGCATATGTCGTATCTCAGATGTATCTCAAGGTCCCCCCCCTACCCCGCCCCACAATTTCATAGGTCAGAATTGGATCCGTGTCAACACTGGAATTTGTTTGCAAGCTAAGTGATCGACTAAATCTGCTACGTCTGTGAGTTCAGTCTTCAACTTTTAAAAACGGTTTGAAGCTGTCCAAGCGATGAATTGAAGTTACACGAAGAGGAAGTTCCGGTACCTGAATCATTACTGGTGTTGTACCAAATAGTCATAAAGCTGGAACGACATTCTACGATATACCATTTCCTTGGTGGAAAAATATTATAGAAACGGACTAAAACGATATAATACTGTATATAATCATGGTGGAAAAAGGTTATAGGAAGGAACGAACCAGAATACGAAAGATTCACATCTTTTTACACCAGAAGCCAGCTTCGTGGGTTTCACTTTTTTCTCCTTTAATTTGAAACAAATACTTTGAAAAATAATCAAGCTTTAAGCCTTTAAGAGGGGATAACAGTTAAAGGCCTTGTTTGTATTATACTTCAGCAGTTTTCCTTGAAAATCTTGCATGTCAAAATGTCATTCGATTTTAAAAAATAAATCATCCATCCTGAAATTCTTGGAACGTTGTCTTTTTGAGGTTTTGAGAATTTTTTGGTGATTATTAGAATATGCGTAATCAATAAAAGTTTGAAGGGCAAATGTTAAAAGTAAAGGAAAATGAGAAAATATTGGATTTAAGGTTAATTAAAAATTAAAATTTGCAGCGAATAATTAATAGACAAAAGACCAGACAGTCCGCCACCCTGAGCCAATTAGCGGACTAACTACGCAGTTTACGTGCCGTACCCTCTATCTTCTTTCCTTCTTTCTCTCATTCTCAATTCAACCCCAATTGCTGTGGCGGATCCGGGGTTTTTTCAAACAGGGAGTTGTAAGTATGAGAGCTCAAGGCAAACGTCCCAGGGACAAAGGAATGGGAGAGGTGGGGTGGGGTGGGGGGAAGGGTTAGAGTTAGCCGGTTATGTCTGAATATGTAGATTTTTTCATTTGGATTTCAGAGGAATCTGAGGTACTATTCATACGTGCTTCTTTAAGACTAATAAGTTCGTGGAGATAAAAAGGCGCTAAGCCATTGATAGCCTTATACGTTAACAGTAATATCTTAAAGTCAATTCGCAATTTAACCGACAGCCAGTGCAGATTATACACCAACGGTCTTACATAGCAGTATTTAGATTCCAGGAAAATTAACCTAGCGGCAGCATTTTGGACACTCTGTACCTTTTTAAGCTGGTAAGCTGGCGGGCCATAGAGCAAACTGTTACAATAGTCGACACGACTTGAGACAAATGCGTGAATGAGCGTCTCAGTGGACTGCCTAGAAAGATATTTCCAAATTCTTCATATATTATACAAGTAATAAAAAGCATTCGAACAAGTGTTATTTACATGAGAATTCATTGAAAGAGTCGAGTCTAACCATGTCCCTAAGTTCTTAACTACCCCTTTTGGTCTAATTACACAGTCTCCAATTAAAATGTGATCAATATTAACCTTGGCTAGTTATTGCCTGGTACCAATCATTAGGAATTCTGTTCAGTTATCGTCATTGAGAGGTAGTTGCTGTTTATCGTTGGTCATCCGATTACGTCTATCATCCACACAGTGCTGTATAGCAGTGAAAACCTCAAATTGCCCGGTGCTTATGTTTGGACTGAAAGACACATACAACTGCTTGTCGTCAGTGTAGCAGTGAACCGTGCAAAGGTGCACCTTGATAACATCAAACAATTTGCTTGCATAAATCGTGAAAAGCAATGGCCCGAGGTAAGAGCCCTGCGGTACTCCGAAGTCCAAATTCAAACTCTCAGATAAATTTCCTTGGACCTTAACACGCTGAGATCTTCCATTAAGGTAGGAACGGAACCAGTCAAGTGCCGTTCCAGATATACCAAATTTTGAGTGAAGCCGACTGAGTAAAACATTGTGATCCACAGTATCAAACGCCGCACTAAGATCTAATAAAACCAGTAGTGTTACATGCTGTTTGTTCATGTTCAACAAGATGTCATTTTTCACTCCCAGCAACGCTGTTTCTGTGCTATAATTCTTCCTATAAGATGACTGATTGGCAGGGTAAAGATTGTTCGTGCAAATATGACTATGAGTTTGGTTATAGACGGCTGACTCTGTCAGCTTCGAAACAAATGGTAATTAAGTTACTAACAGGACGAAATTCTTGAAGAGAATGTCGAGGCCAGGTTTTTTAAGTAACAGTGAGACTAAAGCCTTCTTCCAGGCGACAGGAAATTGACCAGACTTTAAGGACATATTGATTAATCTTGTAAGTACAGGAAGTAGGACATCACATCGGCTGACCAAAGTTGAAGGCATAGGGTCAAGAGCACACGATTTTAGAGTCGAATGCTGCATAAGAGACTTCACATCTTGGAGTCTCTAAATATCGAAATATCATTTATATTTAGGGGGTACTATATCTTTTCAACTGCATGCCTGATTCTCTGAGTGCGTAAATGAATATTAATAATAGTGATGAATAATAATAAAAATAATTTAATGATTTTCTATTTTCTCGCTCCCCAACTCCGCTGATTTAGATCAGTTTATCTTGAGTTGCGCCGTGAGTTAACCGCCAGTTATACTTTATTAATTTAGTCAGACTACGAATAGTGCCGCAAATCACAGCTCTACGTGATCTTAGATCTCCTTCAGTTACTCTGTTTTATAGGAATCAAACGATTGCTTAATTGGTTAATTTTGCGTAGCGAGCGGTTTATAAATATGGACTTTGTATGGGAAACAGTTCACCCTGACAGTTCTCTAGACGCTGAACTTGTCTATCTGTCTCCGGTATACTTGGTTTCCTACATAAAAGGACCGAAAAGGCCTAGAAAGGACTTTGGCAAACCGCCGAGAATAAAGATAAGCATTAGAGAGTATGTTTGGAACATGAGTTGTAATAATAATTATTATGCTATTGACAGAAATATTTGAAATTCAAATTTACTCATGATTTGTTGATATTTTTCTGTACCAAGGCCATATCTCACACGAAATTAATTTCATAATTTATTTTCAAGATGGCTCCAAACTCACTTAATTTAGCATACATAAATAGTTTAAGAAACTCTTCATTGGCTCAAGCTCTTTGACAGCCCTTGTAGACTCGACGTATATTACTTTAAGGCCATCTCTCCCATTAAGTCGAATCATACCAATTTTAAAAATGTATTTAAATCAGCATGGTTTATTCTGACCAATAAACAATTAATCTGCCCAAAACATCTGCTGGTCTCAGGCAAATGGTTTGAGTTTTCCTCCACCTCCAGTTTCTTACTAATCAAGGTGTTCTCTATCTTGGCAGTGTTACTTTCGAACATTACTTTTCCTTACTGTCTATACTACTTTATTGAGAATGTCATGGTTTTGGTATCTCTCGTTGGTTCTAATACTCATAGCTGTTTCTGGAAACGCCTTAGTTATATACGTCATCATATCTCGCCGTCGACTTCATACTAAAACAAACTGGTTTGTCGTATCACTCGCAATGGCCGATCTCTTCCTGGTGGCTCTTCTTGCAGTCTCTATATACATTTGCGGAACGCTTATTCGCAGCTGCGGTAATGTGTTTCTGTATCTCACTTCATACTTCGGGGAAGCGTCTGTTACTAACATAATCGCACTGGCTATCGACCGCTACTGTGCCATAGTGTTGCCACTCAGATACACGCAAATTATGACAAAGAAGAAAATTGTTGTTATACTAATAATCAGCTGGTTTGCGCCCTTAATACTCGATACCGTCCCCACTGTTTTGGAAGTTTGGCTATCTTATGGCGATGATATATCACAACTGACAAGTATGATAATCTTTCAGATCTCGCCATGTGTTGTCTTAACAATAGCGACAAGAAAAATGGTTATCACAGCAAAGAAGCACACCAAACGAACGTCAATAGTACTAAAGCAGCTAAGGTACAACCAGTTAACAAAACGAACAAGAGCAGAAGCCTCTTCAGCTCGTTTGATCACCATAATGGTAGGCGTATTCTTAATTTGTTATGTAGGCCAGACTTTATCATCAGTTTGTTCATGTATTGAGTCTTGCGTAAAAGCTCAGCCTACTAAGGAGTTTGGGGAAACTTTAATACTGCTTCTCCTTCTGAATTCCGGAGCAAACCCGTTTGTGTACTCATTATTCAAAAGAGATATTAAAAGAGAATTGAACAAGACACTTTGCTGTGTAACAGCTAAAAGCATTGGCAAAAGACAATATGAAAGAAAGAGAGAAACGGGAAATTTAAGGTAGCACGGCATTCTTCGATGACTGACATGTCGAGACATGACATTTCCGCTCGTTGAAAAATTAAGGTGGAACTGTATGAATTGCGTGTGCGGTGAGTCATGCAAGAGAAAAGCTGATACTATCACACCCGGACCCCCTGCTGACTGTCGCTGCCATCTTTAAGATCAATTCAAAGTTTTAAACTCGTATATGCTATATATATAAAGGTTGTATTTTAAGTTTAGAATACAAAAGAACCATAAAACCTGAATTTTTATACAATTACCGACTATAAATTGGATAAGAAATTAAAATTATTTACTATAGGTTATCTTTTCGAAGCTTAAAATTGAAAGGTGTATTTTTAGTCAGTTTGTAAAATTACATTCATGATTGATGTGTAGGAAGTTGATATAGAGTTGAACTGAATTTAAATTAGTTATGATAAGATACTGAATTCAAAATAAATGGCAAAAAATGAATAACGTTTGGTTGTCCTTTGCTGCTGTGTTTTTTAATGGCTTCTAGACATGTCGAAAATGAGGAAGTTTTTTTTGTTTCATTAACCATCTCTTTAACGATATCCTTATTGAGCCTAGGGCAGATTCGGAGTTGACTAAATTTCCAAAGCTTGAATATAAAAGAAAATATTTTGGGAAGCATTTTCAGCGACTGATGCCTACTAAATGTGGTTAAGAATCACGAATAACAAGT